ACTCAATGTAATGTTAAAGCTAAAGATATGTTAAAGATAAAACAGAAAATAAGAATCAACAATATTTAACATGAGAAAAACCTTACATTAAATAAATATTATTTTCCTTTTCCTGTTTGTAGTTTATGTTAATATTTCACAATGTGAAACTAAAACATTTTTAATTCTATAAAACTTACAATATTTATACACTTGGCATAGTCAAGAAGTTATAACAAAAGGTTAGACTTAATGCTTTCATAGCATTATTAATAAATAGTTTGTACCCTTAATAAAAAAATAAACACCTTTACATGCAAAAATCTCCCTGACTTTAACACAGTTTTCTAGGTAAGAATTAATGCCTTACTAGTAAAAATATGTATATATCAAATTTTCATAAGCTCTCTTTTTTACTAAATTTCAAAGTTAGAAAATATGCAAAATGAAAATTAAGTCTAAAATCCACTGAACACTCTTGATAACAAATGGGCATTTCTAATAACAAGAATATTAATAATAATAGATCTAACGAAACAATAAAAAATAAAAATATTTTTTGTTTGTCAATACATTTTAAAATCTTATTTTGTGTACTTTTTAAGCTTCTAATAACATACAGATTCTTATGGCAACTAAGTTTATGGAATGACTACCCATTTTCAGTCTGCATAAAGAAGATTGGATTTAAAGTTGCAATTACATGATGCTGTTCACAACACTATATTAAGTTATTCAAAAGCTCTTCTACTGCAGTTACATTACAGGAAATACTAGTTTTACTCTGTTTATAATGATTAATGATAACGTTCTTAAAAAACTACAGAAATCCCTCTATCACCTTTTATTTATATGCAATAAAAGTTTCTTTTTTTTGGTGTATTTGTTTGTTTGTTGGATTTTGCACAAAGCTACTCGAGGGCTATCAGCATTAGCCATCCCTAATTTAGAAGTGATAGGCTAGAGGTAAGGCAGCTAGTCAACACCACCCACTGCCATCTTTTGAGTTACTCTTTACAAACAAAAAATAGGATTGATTGTCACATTATAACACCCCAAAATCTGAAAAAGTGAGCATTAATGGTGATGGGACTCAAACCTGTGACTCACTTATTGCAAGTCAAGCACCCTAACCACCAAGCCATGCAGTAGCCTTCTTTACAGAAAACTTCTATTCTTAGAATATTCAACAGCACCACTTTAAAAATCTTGTTAATGAGCTTAACATTTATGAATATAAGAAACTAAGGGATTCAATTTTGAATAAAAAACTTTTAATTTCAATTTATCTAATGAAGTATTTTTTTAATGATTTTTACCCAGATATATCTTTTAAAAATTAATACTACAATACTTTGGTCAAAACCACTAACATTATACAATCAGAAGCAGAAAAAAATGTAATAACTTCAGTTTAAAACTCAGATATGTTGGCATTTAAAGTTACCTTGAAATTTACACAAACTTTTGTAACAGCTAAACATATTTACCACATTATATAACCACAATGAACTATTTTAAATTATTCCAGGTGTCTCAACTATATTACATTTTCTATTTAGATAAAATTTCTGCTAAACAGTTATAAAAAACACTGAACCATATCACTACAATTAAGATCATGCACATCAGCAATATATATAGTCATAACCAATTAACATCTACTAAAACTGGAGCAAGATCATATGCATCAACAATAACATCTGAAAAAACAGGAAGAAGTAATATCATAATGTAAAACAAAATGTGTATGCACATAAAAGAATCTTTGTTTTTATTTTCAGCTGTAAAACTATTTGATGAGCATGCAAGCAGAAGCTCAAGGCCTATTATATGAGAACAACATTCTAATTACAGAAAAGTGTTTGGAAAGCTAAGAATTTAGAAATTGCTCAAAATATTTTGAAAAGTTAGATTTGGAAAAATTATAGCATTAAGGTGATAAAGGTAAGTTATGTCAACCACTTGAAACATGGAAATATACTCAACTTAAGTACCTGTGGAGGTAAGCTATGTCAACCAAGCAAAACATGAAAATATACCCAACTTAAGTACCTATGGAGGTAAGTTATGTCAACCACTTGAAACATGAAAATACATCCAACTTAAATACCTATGGAAGTAAGCTATGTCAACCACGAGAAACATGAAGATATACCCAACTTAAAGGTCTATGGATGTAAGACAAATCAACCACATGAAACATGAAAATATACCCAACTTATGTACCTATGGAGGTAAGCTATGTCAACCATGAGAAACATGAAGATATACCCAACTTAAGTGTCTAAGGATGTAAGACAGATCAACCACGTGAAACATGAAAATATACCCAACTTATGTGCAACTTCGAGCTTTTCTGTAAATTTCAATAAGAAATACAAACTGAACAGATGTTTTGTTTTTAATTCTAGTTATGGATGAAAAACTCAGTCTTATATTCATAACTTGAAGGTTTGCTAATAACATAAATAGAAAATTGAAAGTCATAATAGTTAAAATATAATACATTTTAGTAAGTATTTATTTATTTATCCATATCACATTATCAGTACATCCATACGATACTAAGAATCTGAAATCACCAGCAATAACTAATTAACATAAAAAACTGGCAATGAAATTGCCATAAGAAATAATAATGAAAGTGCACAATATTATATGTAGTAGTTAGTGCAAAAAAATCTGAGTAAACGGTACAAACTGTCAGAAGACTGGATATTAGAGAAACTAGTTTGAACAAATATAACATGGAAGACAACACAAGTCTGAAGAGAACACAAAAATGTGTCAAAACTAATTTCCCTAATATCAAAACTTCTGATTAAAAGTAAATTACTTGTTTACATATATACATACATGTAAGATTCTATGTATCTTAAGTTATAATTTAGTTTAATTGCTTGACTTTTAATAACATATAACATGCTAAACAGCTTTCAAATGTTATGGAAAATTGTTTTGTACATATCATAGAAATTTTCATTAATCAAAAATAAAACAAATCTCAGCCATTTTTTCCATGGGTATAATATGCAAATACAATTTTTTAGGGGCAGTATCCTTTGTGAATATTCTTACATATTTATAGCTAAGTCCTATTTACAGTTATTGATTAGTGATTAGGAAAACTCCATTTATTACGCACTTCCACAGACATGACAACTTGAGAACCATTGGCAGGTATGATACACTGCAATAATTATTTATATTTAAGAGCTTGGAAGAAACTGTAACAAAAATACACAAATTTTGAAAAGTTAAACTTAGTAGTTGATATTTATCTTTATTTTACAGGTTTGAAAATAACGAAACGTACAGAGAAAGTAAGAGCCTTGTAAATTTGTGCCTGCTAATCCTTTATTTACATTTAATTATGTCTTTTGAAAATGATCAAGATATTAAGCACTTAATGTGTCATGAAACAGCTATTAACATTAAATTCTAAGTGGTTTGAAAACATATAAGAGTATCAATCTAGTAAATTAAGGCCTACTAGCTAGTGATTTAAGATCAAATTTCTGCAGTTTAAGAATGCAACAAGCTTCAATCCTGGATATTAGCATAAAGGTTTTCAACAGTGTGCACACTGGAAAACATATGTAATGGAAAGTTAAAAAAAAATGCCTGTAATCAAATATTTCAAAAGCAAAAAGAGTCATCTTCAAGATAAAGATATTACAAACAGACCCTCATTGAACTGCACAATAGTAATAAAATACCATCACACTTTATAAGTAGCAAAGAAACCTTTCTCACTTATGATTGTTTCTATTGTAAACTAGTATTCAGCTGTCGGTGTTTAAAACTACAAAACAGTAGTATTATTGTAATAAGCTGATTATAATGTTACCATGCAATAATTTAGCTAACATTAAACCACAATATCAAAAATAGTGTACTATAGATATTAAAAAAAAAGACATATCTGCATTGCAAGTTTTATGGATTTCATAATTCAGATAAAAGTAAATTCAATAATAAATGAATGTTAGACAAAGCGTAACTGTATATGACACAGCTCAAATCTGTATTTCTCTACTCCAATATTAAACCAAGATAGGCATATTTAATTTTCCTAAAATATAAACAACAGTAACTTTTATAGTTAAGAAGTAACCAACGTTCTGAGATAAAACTAATCTTCAATAAATCACTTAATAAAAATGAATATTTTCAATGCCTTTAACCTAACAAAGTCCTGGTTTGACAATGGTAAGCAAAGTAACTGTTTTAAATACAAAGTTAAGCCCATTTGTCTTTATGTTCAATCTCTGAGATTTGAAGATAAACAAAAAGCATCAATCCTGTAAAATTATACCTAATGACCACCAACATATGTTTCATTTTCTGTTCTCCTCTTCTTCAATGAATGTACATGTACAACAGCAGCTACTGGGAATTAAAATGTTTAAACAGCAAATTTTAGCTTAATAAGTTTGACTATATGCATTTCACTGCTATGAAAAACAGAAAATCATAACCTTCTCAACTTCCCCTAAGCATGAATGTGAATGTCAGACAGCGTATGTTTTTCATTTGAGTGAAGACAGCAAAATATCAAACAACTTCCTAACATAACCTAATCTCATACCAGTCAAATACTACTGAGAAATATATTCGTTTTAACATAAAGTGTTTCTACAGTGCTAATAGTGGAAAACAATGTAATGTCAAGTTATAGTAAAATGCTTGTTATCAAATATTCCAAAAGTAAAATGAGTTAACTTCTGAATAAAGATGTTAAAAACAGATCTTGATTATTCTTTAACAAATAAAATAGTGTGTGATATACATATCAGTAACATACTTATAACATTAGTTTGTTCATTTCAATAGTAACTACAATACATTCTTAAGTACACAACAATGATTACTGGTGAACAAGTTGCATTGTAAAATGCTCATGTTTCAAGTTTTATTAATTCAAAATGATAATGTTTTGTACATAGAAAGAAACACTGTTACTACATACATGCATGAATAGATCTATTATTAATTAAATAAAATCATGCACTCACTTATTTTGTAGTTTTTCTCCACTATTCGAGTGTCTAGAACATGATGGTACTGAAAAGCAGACTTTCCCAACAATTCTTCTCGTTTGTACTCAAGAAAATCTTCAATTCTTAATAATGATAATAATAAAATCATGAATGTTAACCAAAACAGAGCTATTTTAGAATACACATCTGTAGGTTACTATAAAATCAACCAAGACTTAATTTAATTCATTTTATATTAAGTTAACCCATAATAATCAATTTGTGACCATTTCATCTATAGCCTCCTTTTATCCACTACTGAAATAGCTTTTTTTTTTACATGACCAGAGGAGACATAGTTTATTTGATAAAAATCAATATGTTCCTTTCATGAAATTTTGATTCAATAGCATAAATAGTAAAATCAGCATTATGGTGGGACTTGGTCACAAAATTCACAATCACAAGCAGAATAATTTATTTTATTACCTCAACAAGAATTTTGCTTTTTTTTTTTGAGGACTAAATAAATAAACTATAACACACTTTTATAATTTCAACAAACCATTTCACAAATTATGGAAACTATTTATTGCAGGATTTTCCTTTTATGGTAGTAGTGAAGTAACAGAAAGGAAACTGGACACAATATACTCTGAAAAGGGTTTGTGTACAATATCCAATTAAAGTAAACACTGGTAAAACAATTCCCCCTCCTCTCCAGTTAGTGATAAAAAATATCAGTCAGCATGCAAGAGTTTAATTACACAACCAACCCATGAAAGAGTACTACTTTACTGAGTGTTCTTGCTAAACAGCTTCCTAGTAACTGAGCCAATCAAACATAAAACAAAAGTCTGGTTGTTTTAAAAATATATTCACAATGCAAATCCATTTTCTTTTCTGAAGTCTAAAAGATTATACTATGAGTAGGTTTGACAACTAACTACTAGATCCTGTACAAGAAAACTCAAAAATTCAAGAAATTCTAGAAATATAGCAAAAAAGGGATACAAAATGTTTGAATTTTTTCCACATGTCTCTACTTAGCATAATTTTAAGTTACACGAAAAAGTGTTAAATTTTTAAGCTCATAGTTTGTTTGTTTTATAATTATGCACAAAGCTACACAAGGGCTATCTGTCCTCTGCCCACCACTAGTATCGAAACCCTGTTTCTAGCATTGTAAGTCCACAGAAATACCCCTGTGCCACTGGAGGCTAAGTTCGTAGAGTTAAAGAACAAGTATAAAATTAGAATTTGCTTGCAAATGTTAAATTGTTTTTTCTTTCTTGTTAATGCACATATCCAGGCATTTTCAAAGATACTGGAGAGAGTATATCTTCATCTTGAGGTGCTCAACAACTTAGTAATATTAAAATTTAGGATCTACAATAAAACAGTTTTAATTAGTTAATGTAAAAAATTATTTCTTTCAAGAATTCCAATGAAAATTTTCAATGAAATTAATTTGGTTATTTCTTAAAATACAGAACTACAACATTTAAGAAAAATTTAATGGTCAAGTGCACTATCAATTTGTTCTCACCAAATGTTACTTTTTTTTACCTTAATTTCAAAATAATTCTATTTAAACTGACTTATGAAACATCACATTTAGGAATATTGTCATGAAATGAAAATAACTAAAGTTGGCCAATTATAAATAATTTGAAATTAGAAAGACAGCACACATGTACTCTCACCAAATAACTTGGTCATGGACAGTGAATATTTGTTCACCATCTGAAATTAATGACAGCATGGTTGAAATAAACAATTGGAAATATTTAGACAGTTAGTGATATAACCGAATAAGCTGTCTATGGAATGATTCACACTCTCACTCTTGATTATTCAAATAAAAAGACAGATTTATAGAATAAGTCTTATGAAAGTTTTATAATGGTAAGATGGTAGAACAATTAATCATGTGAAGGATGAATAAACATATCCAAGGGCAAGATCTTATCTAATCATTCTTGTTACAGCATTACAGCAGTGTTTTGTAAAAGTTCTAACCTACATCATGAATTGGAACAAGGTTGACCTAGTATAGTTAGCTAGAATTAAGCAATCATGCAATAATCAAAGATTGCTGCATCAGAAATTACAGAAATTAAAGCTGTCATCGAACCAAGTTAGTTAGTCATTCCACGAATTAGTTACCCCCAGAATTTGAATTGACTTAGACACAGCCATACAAAAAGAAGCAAATATAAGAGCAAGTTTTAAATTCTTTGCAAATACTGAATTTTCAATCATTCAGTAATATGGTATAATGGTTAGAAGAATTATGCCAGAAGGTTAAATAAAAAAAAAGGAAGTTTAATCAATAAATATTCATCTCATGATACTATCATACTGTTCTGTCCTTCTTCCAACATAAGTTTCCTCAAGCCCATGGGCTTGTGAGCTCATCAATAATTGCATATTCCTGGTATTAAAATAAATACTTTTTGTAAGCAGTTAAATACAAAAAGTTATAAATAACCATTATACTTCTTGAGCAGTAGAGATTGTCTCTATTTTACACTAGTATTCCACTGCTAATGTTTAAAACTACATAATATTATTATTATTGTAATACACTGATCATGACATTAACATGCAACAGTTTAGCTAACATTAAACCACAATATCAATAATAGCATATTTTAGAAAATAAAAATAAAAGTCTACATAGCAAGTTATGTGGATGTTATAATTCAGTTTAAAGTAAATTGTATGATAAATGTTAGACAAAGAGATACGTGTGTATGGCACAGATCAAATCTGTATTTCTTTACTCCAAACATACAACACAGAAGATAGTCATATTATATTTCCCCCAAAATATAAACAACAGTAATTTTCAATAAATAAGATGTAACTGATGTTTTGTAATAAAAACAAATACTCTTCAGCAAATCACTTAGTAAAATTGAATACTTCCACTGCCTTTAACCTAACAAAGTCTTGGCCATAAAATTCAAAAACTGATGCATATAGTAGTTAGTTTAAAACAGAATAAACAGAGCTAACTTCAAAACTCTTTCAAACTGATATAAACCTTGTACTCTGATCGAAGGTTATGTGGATTAAAAAAAAGCATTTAATAAATAACTGCAAGTTATAGAATACACTTTTATAGAACCATGTTCTGTAGATTTATGATAATTATTTCATCTATGCCTTCATGTATTTATAAGCAACAGCAGATGATCTGCAAAAAATTTTCATTTTTATACGGTCTATTGCTGTGTTGTGGTATAATGTATTTTTGGAAATAGCTTTTATATTTATTAATGTCTTAAAAGCTAACACAAATTTCGATGACTAAAACCATGAAAATTATTTTTGTTATAGGCAAGTAATTAAAAAAAGGCCTTAAACTTGAGATGAATTATTAAGATAAATTAAACAAACTATTTACCATTCATTAAAGATATCTTTTTAATTGAAACTTGAAAAACAGACAAAGCTTTCATGTTATTTTCTGTATTGAAAAGTAGTGAGAGGTTGGTTTTATTTGATTATAAATTGATATCGTAACCTGATACGGTACTGAAACTTATTCCAGGCCAACAAGGGCCACAACTAAAGTAGCTTCTGCAGGGTACAAAGGTACTGATTTATGACCTTTATTAGCAAGTGTAGGCAATATGTTATTGTATATTCAAGCAGCATTTGAAAACCAAAACTAGTCTTACCTCTTCCAGGCAATGTTTTAATTAGGTTTAAATCAGCAGTAGCTTCCTCATGAATGAAATGAGATGACCATATGTACTATGATGCACAAACTTAACAGCACTAATATAACCTGAATAACCACACTTGGACATCAGCTAGTATCCATAATAGGTAATGGTGTGTCAGATAACACTAAATGTTCTATATCACTGACAGTTTAACTTCACTTTAAAATGTTACATATATGTAGAGGACACTAAACTTGAAATTAAGCTTTAAAGATATAAATGATATTGAATAAGAACAGAAGAGAAAATATCTAATGTACATAACATTTTAAACACTGCAAAAACAAGAATTAAATAATAAAAGCAATAAATTTAGTCCTAAAAATATTTCCTACATCCATAAAAACCTACATCAATTCTTAAAAACATGACTCTACTAATACTTTTACCACCTACTGAATAAACTTCATATATATATACATATCTGTATGAAGCTAATCAACCAGAACTACAGTACAGTGCTCATTATTCACATTTTCAAACCTTCCACTACATTAAAAACTGCCTTCAGCACCAACAGCTTTATAAATTACATAATTATGAGACATGTCAAGAGTAACTCTTGGTTGTACATCAGTACACAAAAATGAATATATTGATGTTCACTTGGGATGATTCATACAATAAATCAGATACCAGATGCTTCATAAATTAATAACTCAATAAGGATGGTAATCTACCTGTCAGCATGTCACTCAAATATATAGGATTCAATGATGTTGCAACTAATCATATGCAGAACATTACAACTTTGTAGAGACTTCCCTATTCTACATAGTCTGTTTTTGTCTGCTCTTATTAGATAAGACTAAATAATGAAAAATGCTCAATATTTCCGGACTCTAACATCATTACTTGCCACTCTAAACAGTGAAAACTATCAGATTACTAACAGCAAAAATAGTACATGAAAGGTACCTTTCACCATTTGTTTTTCAAATAAAATAACTATTTTTAAGTCTCTTAAGAAAACAAAACAAATTATTAAAAAAAAAGACTCTTCATGAATTCATAAAACACAACATAGTTTTCAACAATATTTTAAGAAAAAATACATCTTAAATCTTATTAATTAAGTACTACTTGGATCTTAATGTTTAACTTGAATATTACACAATAAATGGGAAGAAATTCCTTTTTTACAAAATCTACAGTTCAAAGTAATTTCTTTATAACACTGAAATAATCTAACCTTTCATCTACATAGGTGAATTTCATATCCAGAGAATGCTGGCTTAAAAATGTTTGTTTGTCCAAAGTAATTTCAATGTTAGAAGGATGTGGAATGGGTTCAGCAAGGGAAACAAAGTAGTTTAATGCTGTGAAGTTAGCCTTACAAGTGTGTGTCTCCATTTTGACAACTGGTATATTATTCATTATGTATCCAGTACAGTGAATTACCTGCAAATAAAGATTCTAAAATTAAGAAAGGTTTGTAAATGTATATATTACAGAAAAGATTAAAAACTACATTACACCATCTTTACTAACCCAAAGCTCAGATTTTTTGTATTTTATCATTTTAAATAGAAAAGTATCCAGTTCCAGCTCAAATGTTATTCAAACTTAAAAGGTAGGGCTTTCACAACTTTCAGTTTCTTCATCAGCCATTACAGACCCATCCAATGTTGTAAAAAAAGGTTTCTAATACACCTAATGTCTGTTAGTATCTTACACGATTTATGTAAGCACCCTGTAATTCTTGTGTTCTAATGTTATGTCATTAGAAAACATCATCTTCCAAAGCAGTCAAACAATTAGATATAGACCATGATGTACATCTGTACTAAATATGAAGCAGAGGCATCACTAGATACTTAAAAGATTCATGGCTCAGGCTTATAGGTGCAGAAAGTTTGGGCATTTCAGTATGATATTGATCACGGCTTTCTATTCTAATTTTTCAACATACCAACAGGGAATTGGAGGTACAGTGAAATAGAATCGGCCCTAGGTGCCAGTGCCTAGCAATGCCTCTGATGAGAAGTGTCCAGCTAAAAACTTTCCTCATTATAATATCATTTTATTTCTGGTTAAAACCATACTTCAAACCTAAAGTGATTGAAAATTTTCAGGTTTTATAATTTTCTTGCTTGACATAAGACACAATCTAAAATATGAACACTCTCATACATAATATACTCCTTGAAGAATTATGTTAATAATGATAAGCTGTTACATTAGTAATAAATCTTGAACTTCCTAAAAAAATTATATGACGTAGTTTAATTAAGTTGTGTATGTTTTTCTTGTCTGCAAAACACTAGCAATTGCATTTTTTATTCGAAGAATCTATATATTTATTTTCAAATAATACATCATGTGGCACTAATACTACTAACAAATGCAACAGAGAGGCCTGACAAAACAAATAAATATCTACAGAACTGTTCAACTACTGTGGAGGATTCTAATTGATATTTACTTAAAATTTCCTCAAAGAGAAAATGTTATTTACAGGATATTTGCATATGAACTACTAAACTACTGACAGATCTGGACATAAACAAACTTTTATAATACTGAATGGGTCTTCAAACCCTGATGAGAAACTTTAAAAGTAACAACTTTTAATATGAAATAAAAATTAAAGCTGGATTTATATCTCTCTGTTCTATTACTTTCATGCTTAAGTGTTCTTAAAATTTCCTTACATAAGTATATTACAATTTGGAGTTTATAGAAGAGCATATTAAAGATCTGTCTTAAAAAAAATGTTTAAATGTAAAATGATATACACTAGTTAACAAAGAGGCATATCAAACTATGTTAGATATAGCTGTACAAGCAGAAGGGTTTAAATAAACATACAATAAATCATACTCTATACAGTGTAGTTTTCATATTCAATTGCTCATGTTCTTCTTTTTCAAATCCTCCTAAACAGAATAATAAACTTACACAATCAAAACCGTATATGTTTATTATTCTCAAACATCCATTCACAGTTTTTCCAATGACAATAACATTGATTTAATGTAACATAAAAAAAGTGACTGTTCATGTAACTAAAAAATGAAAGCAAAGACTTAACAAATGCTGAGATCTGTTATAAGTCATAGTTAACAGAATGTTTGTTAACTGCTAAAAATACCAAAAAAAATACATTTTAAATTCTCTTAACTAAAACTAAGATTGTACTTTTAACTCAGGTTACTAAAAGATACAGTTTACTTTCTACAATAGGTTTATTTCTCTGTATATTTATAAACACATTTATTTCATGCTTGCTGGCCTAAAAATTAATTAATTTCAGAAGTTTAATTTGGCAATTTTAGCTTTTTTTTATTTGTACAAAACTGCAGTCAGTTATATTTGAGGAAGGATTCTAATTAATCTCTCTATAAAAACAATCACAGCTGAGCAAGTCTTCAAGCTCTGTAAAAGTTACCTGTCTTCACTTGACACAAACTTCAAGTCATTCTGTTTCCCGGTCAAAATATCTTCTAGTTTCATCTGAACACTTAAGATACTAATGTTTGTTTTAAAAAAATTCATTTTATATTGCTTATTTATTCAAAAAATAGTACATCAAATTTCACTAAATATAAAGTGTGCCTTGTGTAGAAGTTTTGAGCCATTGCTATGTACACAATCAATCCATTTAAGAGTGAAATCAAAGTATATCTTACTTAGGAGTTATTGGTAGACATAAAAACCAAACCCAAATTTCTCACTTTTCACTAGATTAATGCTAATATTGCATGATCAAACTGTTTAACAACAGTATTAACCTTCCAAGTTCCAATGATTATAATATAAGCATTTCTAACACATTAAATTGTTAACAAAGCATTACTTCATAAATAAAATAAACAGTAAGTATTCCAAATGTAAAGATTTACAAAACAGGTTATACACAATGATGTCCTGAATATGAAACTAGGATCTAATTAATTTTTTGCAAACTATGGAAGTACACCTTGCCTTATAAGAGGCAGATTTAACATTGACATTTCGTCCCTTGTTGGTCAATGTACACTTCATTCGAAGAAAGAAAGACTGGGGCTGAAGCAGCTTACAATTCTCATTACTTTTCAAAGACAACATTTCTTTGATTTCTTCATGATCACATGGATGGCTGAAGTCATATATGCTGTGTCCCATGAGGTCAAGCTACAAATAAATAAGTAAAAAAGCCAACAGCTCTGTGGTAAATTTTATTCTTTGTTGGTCTATAGTACTTGAAAAATTATAATTCCTTTAAAATATGACAAATACACCAGTATCATGATATAATAAATTGTAATCACAGTGATCAGAGAGCTCAACTTGAATGTTCTCTCACAATATGGTGTGATTTTTCAAATTAAGCAGTGCTCATATACTCTTAAACATATATATATATATATATATGCATTGACATGAGACATATTTCTATTTATTTTGTTTTATAATAGGAACTTGGATATCTTTAGTAAAGGAACATCTCTTGTTAACTTGTGTACTTTTTCATAAATCAAAATTCACTTACATCTTCCAAAGTCATAAGCCCTACAAGTTTTACTGAATTAAAAAAAAATTCACACATACAATAAAAAAATTATAACAATATACAAAGACCAGCAATATATTCATTTATATGAATGCTTACCAAAAACTGAATATTTCTTATTCTGTGTTCTTAAAACTTAATTGTGTTAATTGTATAGTGAAGTTATACATTTATCAGTATAATAAAACTAATTATATAGTTGGTAACCTGAAAATACTTTTTTAGCTCAAATTAACTACAATTCAACATAATTTATAAAAATGTTTTTTGATTTACCCTTCTGATTACTGGTAAAGTTATATTTAATCAAAACCACTGTTCTCAATATCTCAGCAAGATGCCTCATGCTTGCTTATAGATTAATTACCTTGGTGCTTTCATAGGTATTAAACATTATTGCTAAAATTGTACATGATTTTATAGAATATCAGCATTTAAGACACATTAAAAAACCATACTGACTTTCAATGTGAAACATGCTAATGTAGAAACTAAACTAACTGCTATTAAAATATTAGTTAAAAGATAAAAATTTGAATTAAAACCAAATTAAAAATATTATTAAATTAAAATATTAGTTAACTAAAGCTATTCTGAACTATTCATATATAAACTAATCAATATCATCTGTACTACAACAATACTTAACACTACCCAGACTTTTTTGACAATTAACTATTTGTAGTTGTAAACAAATTTCAGGTGGTATTAATTCCATCAGTTTTGTGGATGCTGCAGTACATTTGCTTAACAAAATAGTAAACCTACATTAACTATAAGCACCCCTGTTTCTTTTCATTTTCTAAAGGGTGGACCACTTCTGAGACCTTGACATGTAACTTCCTCTAGGGATCAGAACCCTTGTGAGCTCAACAGTCAGTCTCAAGAAGGTTTTTAATTAAATCAAGACAACTTCAGTTTTATTGTTTATAACACGTAACATGATGCATCTTAAATTTTTTAGTAAAACAAACTTTCAATCACAGCAGCAGGAACAAAGATTCTTTGTTAGTACATTAAGCGGTTTGAGTTCTCAAGAAACTGATTTTATACAGACATACAAACATGCAAAACCTATTTCTAAAGTATTTTATAAAGAGAATTCTGTCAAGATCCATGAAAAGCTACATTTTCATTCATCCACATAGGTAAATATAATTACAAAATAACCATTAAAACAAAAATAAGTGCAAATAATAAGATCAAAAGGTGCATGAAGATATATATATATATATATATATATATAACATATAGGGATTTGAAATAGAATAAACAGAGGTTTCTCAAACTTTTCCTGAAATATTATACACTGAATGTCTCAATTTTTTTTAAATGTAATCAAAGAAACTGATGTCAAGAACTAACTTCTATGTCAATATAATATTCCTAGATGCATTACAAGAGATCTTGGTAAAGAAAGTCATCAGACAAAGTATGAAGTACAGAACATACAATTTCAACCACACACACACACACAGAAAAAAATGGCCAAATCCATATACATAAAAATAATGTATAAATATTAGAAAAAAAATACAACTCTAAACCTGATGATAAAAAATTCTTAAGCCTGAAGGTCAAAATAGCACTTGTAAAAACAAAGTGCATGCTACGAGTGAGACACAGGCCAAGGTCAAAAGAAGCCAGCTGTCAGAAGCACGACGTTAAAGAGTATGCTCTAAGGCATGGTTGAAAAGGCTAGTCTAATTAAAAGAGTATTTCCAGGTGATAAATTGCACAGAAACACAAATGGCATGGATAATACTTTTAACAGGAATGTTTTCAGAAGAAATGTGATGGGAAGTAAGTAACTTCATAGCTTTCAATGGAAATTTTCACATGCAATGATCAACAGCATACATAAAATCAAATAAATGCAACATTCAATGGAAATATATTTAAACCACTTTTATTACATTCAACCCTAATTTCCAAAATGCTTATCCAATCTCCTCTTACATTCTTTCAATGTTGCAACTTCTATGTTATATGAAGCTACACCCTAGAGTGAACTAATGACCTATAATAAAACAAATTAAGACTAACAACTTATAAAACTGTAAAATCATTAGAAAATACCAGAGAAAATTCTGCTGAAATAATTAAAATGCAAAACTGGTTAATAAAACAAAGGGGATAAATTAGGAAATGCTGAACAAGAGAACAAATTAAGACAAAGTACTATCTAAAATTCAGTAATGTTTGATATTAAGAATAACAGAGAATGGGATACAAAGTTGAAATTTAACATGCAAAAGGTCAGAGAAAATGGACAGAACTCATCATTCCTACCCCCAAACCTATGCTACACTGGTTGAGTCAAAAGTCCTGATTTTACATGTTGTTGTGAACTGCATGCAGAATATCAAAAATCTGCTTATGTTGAGTGTTTAGGCATATTAATGACCATTTGCTACCTGACATGATGGCCTGATATAAAGGTCAATTAAATCCTATATCTGAAACTATCAGTATAAGGTAAAATCTCTCAATACAAAATTTGTAGTACAATACAATATTACCCCCCAAAACAGTTTTCCTTATGTGTTTTGCATAAATTTCAATAATATAAATCTACAAAAGGGTTAACTATAAATTATGGAAATTTAATAATGTGGGTGACCTTGATCTGACCTTCATATCAGGACATGTCATGTCAGGTAACAAATGGCCACCAATAAGCCAAAGCATCCTATGTTAAAACATTTTTGATGTTCTACAACTACTTCACAAAAACAAGAAAAATCAGGACTTTTTACTCACCCTGTATGCTACAAGACTGGAAGTTGTAAATATATTATTTCAGTTAAGAAAAAGGATATGTGCAGTAATTCCACAATATAAAAACAAATAAAAAGTTACATAGCACAGGGGTTAAAAAATAAGTTTAAAAGTCTCAGATATCCAGTAGGAGTGGAAAAGAGCAGAAGAATAAAGATGGCAGAATAGCTTCCAATGCTAAAATGTAAATACCATAATGCAGCAAAAGAAAAAAACAATCAATGAGTTCATGAAGTCTCTTTCTGAATAAAAACTGATAATGTATAATCCTCAGCCACACAAACAGGGATCATTAAAACAAGATGGGTGGAAATTACTTACAGATGTGAAAAACAATCATAATGATGTGATATTTTTACATCATTTATTTATATTTTTATAAATGGGTCACGCACTTTCCTAATTTGCTCTACATAGCTTTCCAATAAACAAAATATAAAATATACATCCTTAATTGTTAAGAATGTTAAGAAAACACATATTAATGTGTAAAACTCTGATAAGTTTGAATCATCAGCAGAAAATGTGGATTAGTAATATGAACATGACAGAGTACATGTATAATGCAGCTACAACTGGCATTATCTACCAAGTGCTAACTCTAAGGAACAGTTAATCGAATTAAAGTCAAATAATATTTTTAAACAAAATACTCTACTTTTAAAATTCATAAGCTACTTAATTCTATTATTTCACTACCAAATTAACTTTCTCAACGTATTCAAAATCCTCTTCAAATCTACGCAAAAGTGTTAAAAAATTATTTGAATAAGACATTATTTTTGACATAATTAATGATTGTATGTTTCTTAATAGTAAATAATCCTGTTTAAAACTAATATTCAAAATATACTTACATGCTTAAAACATAGTATCAAAATCTAGAAAACTAATAGCTCCCACAAAAAGTATTTTCACATTCAACTGATTTCCTGTAAAACTACAAGATAGGTCCACTGAATAACCAGAGATTTGATGAGGATCTTTAATATAAAGTAGTTCCGAGTTCTCTGAGTAACTGAGTTTGTAAGACAAAAATAAACAGATTGAACACAATGTACAAAAAATACAATGAGCAACACAGCACCAGCATTCCACTCTGTGGTATTTGAACTGATTTCCTGTACAGCAGCTAGACAAATCTACTGAATAACTGAAGATTTGATTAGGATGTTTATTACAAAGTAGCCCTCAGTAGCCAAAGTTATGACAAAGAAATGGATAAACTGGACACAACTGTACAAAAATACAATGAACAATCTTTATTAATCACAAACACACTATGTGTGTGTATACTTGCTTGTGGACAATGACCAGTTGGTTTTACTGGAGAACTAGATCCAAAAACTGCTTTTTCTCTCAAGATTTGTTCCATACTGACCATACCTTATGTTACTTAGTTAAGATAATATGGTCAGATTTACCAAGAGTGACTTAAGCTAACCACGCAACTGGTCATTGTAATCTCAAGATATCACAAGACTTACAACTGGAGGAAATTATGTTTACACGTTCATGCAGAAGGTGCACCTTTACAGCCACATCCACCCCTTCACACACACACACACACACACAGGCAGACTATCCTATCTCAAGAGAATTACAAAGAACAAGGGTAGCTAAAACAAAAACAACTTTTTTGATCAAGTGTTTGTGAAAACGGGACATGTTAAGAATAACTGATAAATTTTAAAAAATACTAAATTAAAACAAAAGGTACAAAATGCATAGTATACCTGCATACCACATACACACACACACACATAGTACTAGGTGTGCAATAAATTATTTTACCATAAATATCTCATAGAACCTTTTTAAAAAATGAACATAAACACAAACATACCTGATTGAGGCCAAGATATTGATGGACATTTTCAGACAAATATACTAAATCTCCTTCTTCAGACAATATTAATAGAAATCCTTCAAGAGCCTTCAAAATGGCCAAGTCCCAGTTTCTGGCATTGGATGGAAAGTGTTTCATAGCTTCTGCGTAAACCAACAATTATTACTTTATTATACTGTTACCTAAAAATTAATTCATAGAACAAACAAAACTAAAAAAAATAGTAATAACAATTTTATGATCAGTATTTTACATGCCAAAATGGGAAAAGTTTGCTTATTCACTAACATCACAATGACAAGATGCACATGCTTCTCAAATTCAAAGCAAAGAGTGCTTGTTGATACATGTCTATTTGCATGCACACTGTAGGTATTACCATAGAAAACTCTACTAACTATGAAAGTAATTTACAAAAAAAAATGTGTTACAGATGATTACACTGTGATTTATATTTTAAGTTAAATTAAATAATCTAACAGAAACATATACTTAAAGCCTAGCAAACACCACACTATAAATATCTGTTTAAACATTAATAAATCTCCAAGTCTGAAATAAAATAAAATGCAGCAGCACAAACACATTTTACTGCAAATGTAAACTTAGAGAGGTTCTCTCATATCATATTACTCCAAATCACCTACACAATTATAACATTCACTTATGACACCTCATTAAGTTTCCATTATACTTATTATATTATCAAGGTAAAATTCTCAGTTACCATGTGAAAAGACTACTCCAAGCAAAACCTAAAATACAATAACATTATTTCTTCATAGAAGACATGGTACTGGTTTAAATTTAAAGTTGTACAAACAATCTTCTTGCCATCCAGCATTGATTGTTTTGAAAAAGGCCACTGCTTTTATATGCATATGTTCTAGAACAAAAGTGGGCCAAATATGACCCATCTAACCTTTCTTTCCTGCCTGCCATGACTCCCAGAGTGGAAAGAACATAATGGGGTCTTTATACAATCAATGGTGAGGTAATTTAATTAATATAGTACAAATGTGTGACCTGTGATGACTTACCAAAATTCTTGACCATCCCTGTTTTAGAACAAATTTTCTAGTGTTTGTTAAGTGTGAATGTAGTAAGTTTTCTTTTGTTTAGAATATTTGCTTGTACCTAATTTTGAACTGATAGACTAAAGGTATGGATGGCAGCTAGTACACTGTACCTAGTGTCAACTCTGGGGCTACTATATTTTATTTGATCAAGTAGTGAAATTTGGCCATCAATCTTATAGAACACAAATGGCCCCAAAATGCAGAACACAAACCATGAATCTTCAGTTTTAAGTGTGAGCACAATAACCACTAGGCCACACTAAATCATTTTTCCATCTCTGAATTGGAACATTTTGTATATATAACAAACTACATGGTGGCCATGTTAATTAACAAATATTGTTTTGACTCAGATATTTCTTAAAGTAACAGATTATAATAGATCTTTGTGTAGATTACAAAACGGTTGAATTAGTAAGGCTAAAACCTAAAATCATTAAAATTGTTTGTTACATTTTTGTAATTCACACAAAGATTACTATAATTTCAGTAATTCATTTTGAAAATATAAATGATAATCTTCTATTTGGTGACAATGATTACAGTAAATGCTACAACAATGTATTTAATTTTTAATAAGACTTCACTTTCTAATAAATACAGCAGATTATGCATTTTTCTTTGCATTAACATGTGCAAAAGTTTGAAGTTTCAAATTTTTCTGAAGGAGTCTTTAAACTGGAATGCCTTAGTAAAGGTGCAAAATGTAATTGAAGGGTTGGGAGATAAAAGTTTGAGAGTTTGAAATTTAAGGCCATAAGCAAATTTGAAAAAAATGTAAGACTTCTACTAAAATAAAATTCACAGAATTTTACAAATGAAACAAATTTTCTTTGCATACATGAAATTACAAAAGTTAAAATAAAATTCTTATAATCTTGACAACCAAATATTTCTTTATACACTGAGTCCAATGTAATTTATAAAGTTTGTGCACATGTAACATGATACTTAGTTACATGTAACTACTTCCCCATAAACAAACAAGTTCCCAGAATGCTAAAGTAAAAAGTAAACCTAACACTACGATAGCATATTCAATAACATTTTGATAAAGATCTGACTGGTGCCCACATGTACTTTACAATGTACATGCTTAATGACATACGGCTGGTGTTTGTGATATTTGCTTGTTTCAGATTTTCATGTAAAGCTATAAAAGAGCAATCTACATAGACATCCTTAGATTACCTATAGTTCCAAAATGCAGACAGTTGTTCAGTAACAGGATATGTTCTGTGAATATTCACAGTTTGGGCATACTAATCACTGGGCCACACCCAGCCTGGTTGAGTTATATTCCAAATTTGCTTACAAATATATAATACTTCTGTCATATTTCACATAATATACTGTATCATCTATGCTTTTTTTTATTTGTCACAAATATACATGTTGATGATGCTAATGTGGCACAAACAAATATAAAACATCATATATATATATCTCATTTTGAGATAAGGTAGAGAAAATAACAGATAAACTATATAGTTTGAAATGCATTTAGGAGGTTTTAGGGATTATACAAAGGAAATTTGAGATGAGGAAAAGTATTTTTAAGTGTAACATGAAAATTACTTTGTACATAGGGGTATGTCTAAGGAACAATGTTCTGCAAACAGTGCAATAGATGAAGCAAGTTCACTAAATTTCTAAAAGCAAACTGATCCCAATTTATTCAATACAATGATCAGCAAGGATGGGCAGGATCCCTTTATGCTTTACTCATGACAGTCCATGAGTACAGTAACACCACTCTATCTGCTTCTAGGTAGTCTTACGAAACACCTCATTTCTACAGAGCCTGTTGCAACCTAGATAAAGTATATTGTGTTAACCGTATTGCCACTGCGCATGACACAAGATTTTAGTGTCTTACATTCAAAATTTTATTAAACTACTTTTTGTTTATGTTATACCAATTAGAATAGCATAAAACCTTAGCTAATAATCCATATTTTAATAGTATATAAGTTTTAAGTTCTTAATTCTACAAGGCAATATAAAAAAAATCCTGAATTTCCCCTAGTGTGACCCACGTTACACAATTTCTTTTAGCATGTCATCTTCCCTATTTTATCCACCACCCCTATAAAAAGTACAAAATTAAACATAAATTACTCTCTATAAAACCGTCATTGCTCAGACAAACCATAATTTTTATATTCTTCAATTTTGTTTGGTTACAGAGCTATTGAATAGAAAATCAGACCCCTTCTGCCACACCTACCTGTCACATCTTCTCTTTCAGAA